ATAAATTATATTATAATTAAATTTTATGATATATACATATATATTGAAATATATAAGTTCTTTTATATTTATAATAAGTAAGTTAATTATAATATAAGATTATTTTAACTATTAACAGTTTATTTTAAGAAAAACTGTTGAGAATTTGAGATTCAATTTATAATTATAAATAAAAGAGGATATATTAAAAAAGATAGAAGGGTAATTAATTTTAAATTATTGGTAGACAATTCCTTTTGCTACTACTACACATTCAAAAGAAGAAAAAATGTTCATCTAACCTACCAATACCAAATAATCTTAGTAAAAATCTCGACAATAATTTATAATAAAATATTCTTATATATCTAACCCCATCATATTATCATACCATATCAGAGCATCTTCAATATTCTTCAAAGCAATTCACTTTTATTTTCTTAAGTGAGTTTATATGTAACTTAATTTTCACTATAATACAAATTCTTAATAAAAGAAACTTAATTACTTAACTGACAAAGATATTTTTTTCTTTCTTCAATATCCCACCTTACACAAATGTTAAACAACTCGTAAAGAAAGTTGTTTATATAAACAGTTCTATTTAAGTTTAAACAATTTAAAATTACATGTAACATATCAAAATAATATTTTATTGTTAAACAAGTTAAAAGTAAGTCACGTATAAAAGCCCATTGACTATTGACCTTGGCTCGCAGTCAAGGTGCCATGCCATTGCCAGGCATTCTCTTGACTAATCCAGACATTAAAAAAAGAAAGAAAATTGGATTTGTTTGCCTTGCCATGACGCATACTTAGCTGTTTGCCATCTGCCAACTAACCAAAACTAAATTCTCTGCATTCTCACTTACATTGCATTCAAATTAATGCATCATAATATCTGTCACATAAGACCAAAAGGGAAACAAGAAACTCAATACGAGGTATTCCTAATTAGAATTACTCACTGGAAAATAATCTTGCATCATGCATATTCTAAGTAGATATGGTAGAAATCTAAAACGTACACGGAGCGCATAAACTAATGAAGTCATTTTTCTTTTCTCATTTAACAAACTTTTTTTTTATACGAGAAAATCAAACTCCTGTCACAACATGGTTAACGAAGCCAACTATCTTTCTGGAACTTGTTGGTTAGATTCATAAGAAATTGGGCATCAAATGAACGCTCGCTCTAGTCTAGTTTCTGTTGAACTGGTCTGGGCCTTTTATACTGGTTTGGGCTTCATAACTTTTACCCGGAACAAAAATATTTATAAATTATAAAAACAATCTCTAATAAATAAACCAACTTTTCAGATTTTGTTTTAAATTGAAACATTCAAGTTCTTATATTTTATATTTAATTATTTTTTACTATTATTAAATATTTTAAAATTAATTATTCTAGTCTTGCTTGCATATTTTTTTATATAATTTAAAATACTTTATTTTTTTTAATCATTCAAGTTAATTATACATAATTTGATTCTTAATTGACATTTTTATGAAATAAAAATGAAGGAGTTAACCCATTACGAGAATTTCTTCATCCCATTAAATACACGGCATAATAGCAAAATTTTCCCCCCTCGTGTTTTGAACTAGCAAGTTCCGTTTATATATATAAAGTAGTTTAGGATATAAGTGTGGATGATTCTAACTAATTACTATATATAATTATTTTTTCATATAAATTTTTTTAATAACACTTTATTATATATAAAGAATGTTATCAACATACTTTTTCATTCCCTCATTCTCATTTATTATAATTTATTAAAAATTATAAAATTTAAAATATATATATAAAATTAAGTGTGACACTCGCCAGATTTATATTTTGTAATAAATTTTAACGAATTATAAAAGAGTGTGTCACTTACATTTTCTGATAATTATATAATTCAAAAATATATAATAAATTCTGGCGCGTGTATGGTTTACATGCATAATGTGGCGGGAACAACCCGAGTCAACTCTAGTCACAATTACACAACAGCATTCATTCCTGATCACAGATTCACAATCTCCAAAATGAAGCCAAAATATCCAAACACACAAAATGGAACAACAAAGATTTTTCCACAATCACTTGTAATCAAAATCTAAAACACAAGATACAGAATTTATCATATTTTTACACAGTTGGCAACAACTTCAATCCAACATGCTTGCCTCTAAATTTTCTACAACCTCGTTTGTACTTCTATGTCTGTTTTGCATGCTCTTTCATGCAAGTGAATCAGCAGCACCCATTTACAGTGCCCACTTCTGCAGCAACGGAACCTTTTACCAACCCAACACAACATTTCAGTCCAACTTGAATACCCTTCTCTCTTCTCTCACCTCCAACTCCTCCCTTCTCTCCAACAACGGTTTCTACAGAACCTCCGTGAGCCAAGACACCCCCGACGACATCGACGGCCTTTTCCTCTGCCGTGGCGACATCAACGCCACCGTCTGCCACGGCTGCGTCGCCGCCGCAGCCACCAACATAACGCGCCTCTGTCCCGACGCCACGGAGTCCTTCATCTGGTACGACGTTTGCATGCTAAGTTACTCCAACAGCACCTTTGACAATGATAACATGGTTCCCTCATTTTCCTTGAAAGATGGAGAAAGCATCATTGACTCGAACCTTGACCGTTTCAATCAATTGTTGGCGAGCTTGCTAAGCAGTTTGGCAGAAGAAGCCGGGGCGAGTTCGGCGCCGGAGAAGAAGTTTGCCGCGGGTGAGGTGAGTGTGTCGAGCACACAGACGCTGTACGGAATGGCACAGTGCGTGCCTGACTTAACAAGCGCTACCTGTGTCAGGTGCTTAGAAAGCGCTATTGCAAATATTCCCACGTGTTGTGATGGAAGTGAAGGAGCAAAGTTTCTGCTTCCGGTATGTAATATCAGATACCAACTCGATCCCTTTTTGTACAATACAACTTCCATCACGCCACTTCTTCCTTCCCCTTCTTCAGGTATGTAATATCATCCACTATTTCAGCTTTTTTTGGTATTAATTAAGTCTCAACACATATATCTTATAAAATACAACGCTTTTTAAGTATAGATGTACACACATACATAATTAGATCCATTAAAAAAATTTATCTACCATTTATATTTACACACTGAGTTCAATTGTTTTAGGTGTGAGGGAGGATATTAGAAAAAAATCCTCAAATTTTACATTAATTAAAAATAAGGTCAAGTGGAAAAGGGGCAATTATTCTCTTATCAACCAATTTATAAAGTTAAATCAAATCTCATATTTTAAGATAGTATCAACATCTATTATAATGATGATTATTATTAGGTTTATCCACTTATCATTACGTACTTTCAATCGAGTTGTTATTGAGCTATCTAGACTTCTAAATTTTATATATAAAATGTTCAATATTTGATATGAAAAAAATATGTTGGAAATCACATATCAAATAATAATAAAACTAAAACAATATATAAAAGTGGAGAACACTTATTATTTTACAAACTAATTTTGTAAAAGTTAAGCATAATCTGTAGTAATCTATCATGAGATGAAAGTGTAAAATATAGAGACTACAATGTATTACAGAGTTTTTATCATTTATTAATTTATTCTCAAGTCAGCGTTGTTTTGTGATTCAGTTTTTCTGGTTTTTGAGGAGGAAGTTGGTTCCAATATTTTGTGGCTACTCTTCTTCATTTGAAATAGTATTTGTCACTTTTGCATTTTTAAAAAAGGAGGTTTTACCTTGGGCAGGTAGCAAATATACTTTGATGGTGGTGGCAATTGTTATCCCAATTGCTATTTTGGCCGTGCTTTTGGTTATAGGATGTTGTTGGTGGAGAAGAAGGCCAAACAAAAACCATGTGGCTGTCCTGGAAGTGAATGATAGCAGTAATGTTTTTTTTTCCCTACAAAAAACAGTTTATGTTATCACTTCCATCATTTATCTATTCTAAAGCTTGAACGATGTTCTAGTAGTTTTGTAACTCGTATTACTTTCTACTGCAGTGAGAAAGTATTTGACAAGTGACGAAGAGTCTTTGCATTTTGACTTGACTACAATTGAAGCTGCTACAGATAGGTTCTCAAATGAGATGAAGATTGGAGAAGGTGGATTTGGCATGGTTTATAAGGTATGAATTAATAAATTCTCAAGGCAACATACATTCAATTGTCATGCTCAACTCTCATTCTTTATTGCCTAGAGCTAGAGCTATTATAATCTGAAGCATGTTTTCAGGGTACCTTTCCTAATGGACAAGAAATAGCTGTGAAGAGACTATCGAGAACCTCGCTCCAAGGTGACAGAGAATTCAGGAACGAAGCTTCACTTGTTGCACAGCTTCAACACAGAAATTTAGTTAGACTGTTAGGATTTTGCTTGGAGGGAACGGAGAGGATTCTAGTTTATGAATATATCCCAAATTCTAGCCTCGATCACTTTCTGTTTGGTTTGTAATTTTTCACCCTTCTACTTTGCTATGCTTTTCCTATCACTATTATGTGAACTAATTATTTTGCAGAATTCAATTTGTTGCTTACTTGAATGTTACAATTTTACTAATTTCTAGGTCATGAAGACCATGCAGAGTTAGATTGGGCAAGACGATACAACATTATAATTGGGATTGTTAGAGGAATTCAATATCTCCATCAAGATTCTAGATTAAGAATAATACATCGTGATCTCAAGGCTAGTAATATTCTATTAGATGCTGATATGAATCCAAAAATTTCAGATTTTGGAATGGCAAAAATTTTTCATGAAGATCAAACTCAAGAAAACACAAGAACAAGAAGGATAGTTGGAACATAGTAAGTTAGAGATCATTGTAGATCATACAACCAGCTCATAGTTTTATTATTGCATACCTTACTTGATGAAAAAATTGTTACTAAAAGAAAATCTATTTCTTTTCCTCGTTTGAAAATCTTTGATGTCATTTATTGGAATATACAAATCTACTCTCTCTTTTTTCAGCGGTTATATGTCTCCTGAATATGCAATGCATGGAAAATTCTCGGTAAAATCTGATGTATTTAGCTTTGGAGTCTTGGTTTTGGAGATCCTTAGTGGCAAGAAGAACACAAGTTATCATGAATCACATCAAGCCGATGACCTTTTGAGCTTTGTAAGTTTCAACTACAAGTTAACATGTTTTCTATAGTTATGAGATCAAATTCTGCTGAAAATGTCTGGAGGAGAAGATTTTAGTTGTTGAGGGATGCGAGGAATTTCAAACATGTAATCTAACTCAAGTTTTGCGACAGGCTTGGATGAACTGGACAAATGAAACACCTTGGCTGATATTGGACCCAAAATTGAGAGGTTGTTATTCTAGAATTGAAGTTGGGAGATGTGTCCATATTGCTTTATTATGCGTTCAAGAAAATCCAGTTGATAGACCCTCAATGGAAAATATAATGCTTGCGTTGAACAGTTATTCAGTAACTTTAGCATTACCTCGACAGCCAGCATCTCTTATGCGAGGAAGAGCAGCACCGGACAGATTAAAACACCAGCTTGATTCTGATCGGTCTACCAGCTCCAGCTCCGCAATCCCTTCTTCTACGAATGATTCTTTAATAACTCAAGTATATCCCCGGTAAAGGTTCTCATCAAAATCAGTAAATTCAATCCCTTTATATGCTACAAGCATCAACTTTAATTTCGTATGTTATGAAATGAATAATGGGATGACCCAATGATAAGGTTATTTGCCATTGGAAAATGACAATGCAAATTCGGAAACCACAGGGAAAACGTACGTGGCACATGAAATCCTACTTTTAATTAAGTGAATCTATCTTTTAATAATGCATGCGTATTAAATTAAACTAATGTTTCTTAACACTGTAAACCCTCCCGTGAGAGGCAGCTCTTTGCTTGGAAAGACTTGGGAAGAAATGTACTATAATTATAATTTTGGTAATTTTTTACTAGTATGAGTTACAGCCACAACAATAACATTTTAATTAAAACTTTGTACATATTACTGTTATTCTTGCTATGAAGCTGACTTTAATAATTAAACTAATATTTTATCTTGTGTTTAGGGTTTAGGGTTTAGGGTTTATATATTTATTATATATAATTAAAATTTATAATAAATTATATATAAATAAATATTATTTAAATATATAAATTATATTTAAAAACTGAATTATATAACAAGTTGAAATTTTTTTACAAATCATCTTGTTGAAGATAGAGGTATTAATATTTTGGTTTGTGCGTAATATAATTATTTTTACATAATTATAATTATACTTATAATATATAATTGATAAGTGTTTTAAATTTATAAATTATAGTATAATTAAAAATATATAATAAATTAATTTTTAAATATATAAATTATATTTTGAATTTTTAATAAATAATTTAAATTATGACATAAGATTATGTTTAAATTGAAATAGATAAAAAAAATTATAAGAAAATAAAACATAAAATTACAGATAAAAGAATAGTTTGAAATAAGTAAGAAAGATTTTTTGATTAACTGCTAAGAAGGTATGAAAAAAGAAACCATAGAATAAAATAATATTAAAATTTATAATTAACTGTATAAGAAAAATAAAAAATTCCACTCTCAAATTTAATCATTTTAATTTATAATATAGGGTTAGATTTAAGCTATCAAAACGTGTTAAGTCGGCTCCCTTGCACAAGCGCACTACAAGTTAAGTTTAAAGGTGATAACTTAACCTAATTTACTTTTGTTAAGTCAAGAAATGTTTAATGTGACTCGATCCACTAATCTAATGGTTATAACTCATGAAACAAATAAATAAATATATAAAATATTAAACATTATTTTTCAAATTTAAATAGTATTTGATAATAATAATTTAAGAAGAAAAAGAGTATAACTTACATGTTGATCCATCTCAGTGGATAAAAAAATATCTGGTGTTTGTGAGTCAATGTTTTCTAAAACTAACTCACACATAATCAATGGTAAACCAAATTGGCTTATAAATTATGGCCCATTTTGAAAATTATGCTTTTGGATTATGTTCTTACCGGGGATCTGAGGTAGAGTTGATCTGCTGGGTAAGGTCGGGGAGCCTCCTTCGCTGGTACGCTTGTTGCTCCAAGATGGGGGTGGTACCTGCTAAAGAGACTCCAATGCTAAAGTTAGGGTTTGTGTGAATATGAGTCTCGTATAAGTAATGCACGTACCTTGGTGTGAATTAGGGTTTTGTTGGGCCTTGGGCCTGAGATCAGTTATGATCTGATTAGATAGCGGATCTCGTCTATATCGAGATCTCCTAGCGCATGTCCGAGGTCGTTCTGCGCTGTGATACCGAGCTCAAGCTCGGCATGGCGGTACGGAGAGTACACTAGCCCCCGAGCTCCGAAGACAGCAGGTCGAGGAGTTGAAACCGAGCTCGTCAAGGAATCGTGACCTTTTGCGTACGCCTGCCTGTCGAGATGCCATGTGTCACAACTGTCATTTCCCATTTCGAAACGCGAGGTTGGCGCGTTAATGGGCATGACGGTTATGCAATGATGGTTTCATCCATCATAATGGGTCTCATTTAATGTGTGGTCAGGCGTGTCCCTTGGGTGACACGTGTCTTAACCGTTTGAATTCCAAAGAAACCCTTTTCTCTTTGTCGCGCCTCTTCCCCTTTTCACTTCACTCTTTTTTTTTTACTGCTTGGCTTCTTGCGTACGCTGTCCTCTTCATTTCTGTTCGTCCTCCGTCTCCATTTTCTCTGTTTCGCTGCCATTTTCGGAGACCCCATCGTTGTTTAGGGTTATTTTCTGAGGAAGAGTACCAGGTACTTCCTTTCTACAGTTTTCTTTCTCCTTCTTCCCAAATCTTCTTCGAGTCTTTTGTTTCTTGATGGCTGGAGAGGGTGGTGCTGGTTCTTCTGTGCCTGCCAAGGGTAAAGGCAAGGCGCGCAGCAAGGCGGTGGCCACCGGGACGACTGCTGAAAAGAAGAAGGCGGAGAACCCGCCTAAGGATCTCGTCCCCGGCGTTCCTGGCTATGATTGGGTCAGGCGCGACGTGGGAGAGTTCCAGAGCGTATTCGTCGTTCCTGGAGATCAATGCGACTCGAAGAACGCATAGGATCTGTGAAACTTCTGTCTCGAAGTTTGTCCGGCTCGAGCCTTGTCGGCCTGACGAGCGTGTTTATATGGGGAGTTCTTCTGACCCTCCCTATTTCTATGTGTATTAGTGTCTTTTTAGGGATTTGGGTGTCTGTCTTCCTTTTACTCAATTTGAGTGTGATTTTTTAAATTTCATTAACTCGGCTCCTTGCCAGTTACACTCCAACAGTTGGGGTTTTTTGAGGGCTTTCCAAGTCTTGTGTTCGGTCTTGGGGATAGAGGTATCTCTGCCCATTTTTCTTCATTTTTACCAATTGAAAATGGGCGTTCCTCCCTATGGTTTGATGTCCTTGAATGGGAGCAAGGCTAGGGGTCTTTTTACCCTTTACTCTCAGTCGTATAAGAATTTCAAACAAGAGTTTTTCTGGGTGGCGCTTGTAGACGTCAACCCTTTAAAGGATGGGGCATTCTACTTCGGTGGGTTGCCGAAGTTCCCCTTCTACTGGCGGCCGGTCCCGGCCAGGTCTCACGGAGTGGGGGAGTTGAAATTGACGGCTTCGGAGTCGGCCGCCATTGAAAATCTTGAAGCACTTCCTCGCCCGCTGGATTGCAAGCTCGTCCTGTCGCTTGCGAACTCGGCGTACAAGGAGAGGGGCTTAAAGAGTGAGTATCTCGTCTTTCGTAGATTGTTAGGATTTGTGAAAACTTGCTTTGTTGATTTGTTTGTTCTTTGTGTTTGCAGGCATAATGGGCAAAAATAAGTGGCACAAGCTGAAGCACCGTTATAATGTCGTCGAGATCCAGGTTCCAGAGCCTTAGGAGGAGGAGGTGTCCCCCCTGAAGGAGAATAGGAAAAGAAAGAGGGGAGGGAATGAGGTCGGGGGGACCTCCGCCCCTCGAGATGCTGAGGAGGTGACCTCCAAGGCTGCTGACGCTGATGCAGTGGACCTTATCGGGAGTCCGCCACCCAAGGAGGTTCCTCAAGTAGCGACTGAGGAGATGGCTCAGGCTGCTGAGCAGGTTGCTCAGCCAGTCGAGGTGGTGACCCAGGCTGTTGGGCAGGTCGCCCAGGCTGCCGAGGTAGGTACTTTGCCCTTCTGCGATTTTTCTTCTATGTAGCATTTCTCTTGTCTTCTACCTTAGGAGGAGAATTTTGTCTTTTGCAGGTGAGGAATGTTGCTGGGGTCTCGGTGCCTTTGAGCTCTGGGGCGTCAGGGGGGAATCCCCCTGTTGCTGAGTAAAAGGTGTCTGCGTCTGCCACCCCCGACCAACGCAGGAAAGGGCCAAGCTCCGAGGTCCCGACTCCCACCCCAGTGACGTCGGCACCATCGTCTGGTCCGTCAAAGGGGCCCCCCATAACCCAGTACCTCGCTCAGCGCTTCCAGAAGGGTGGCTCCGTGGTGAGGTTGGATCACTTGAGCGCTTCGGAGGACATCGATTCTTGGTGGAGCGCTGGGGTGTCTTTAGAAAATTTTTTCCCAAAAGGTCTCTGAGCACGGCAGATCAAGCTATGATCGAGTTGGTCGGGCTTGTGGAAGGCCTAGATGCTGCCCAGGTCTTCCTGCAGAGGACCATGGCCATCGTGGACTATTGGAAGCACAAATGGTCCAAGCAGCAGGGGGACCTGGCTAATTTGAAAAGTCGGGTGCAGCCTTTGAAGGAAGAGGCCAAGGCCTTGAAAGAGGAGAAAAAGGTTCTGGAGGCCGCCCTTGGTGAAGCCAGAGTGCAGAAAGAGGCCGAGCTTCGAGCCGCAAAGGGAGATCTCGTGAGGGTTCATAAGTCACTGGAGATCGCCTTGCGGTCTAATAAGGCTTATGCCTCCCAAGTGAGTGAGCTGCAGGAGCTCGCCGCCTCATCCCGAGGTCGGGTGCGCTTCCTAGAAGATGAGGTGACGTTTTCTCAGGGTCGGGTGCGCTCTTTGGAGGATGAGGTGACATCTTTGAAGGGCGAGTTAGTGGTGGCGGATGAGAGGCACCTTTGCGACGAGGTCCTTCTCGGTGGGAAAGAGGAGGAGGTAGCCGCCATGAAGGTGGACCTCGCAAAGCTGGAGGAGGCGAAGGCGGGGCTGGAGAAGAAGCTCGAGGATACGGAGCGGGCTCTCCTCTTTGAGCATAAGAGGGAATTCCTCAAGGCAGCTCGCCAGGCGAGGTTTTTCGCACCGAGGCCCGACTTCTCCGCCATGCATGTGGAGAGGGAGGTCCGTTTTGGAAAGTTGGTGAAGGAGGATGACCTTGAGGACAGTTCAAGTGACAATGCCTCTGCCTAAGCCGCCTTTTGTAATAGTTTAGCTTATTTTTCTGTGTTTGATTCCTTCCCTTGAATTCATGTCTTGAACTTTGCGAACACTGTTGTGTGTATATATATATATATTTCTTTGTCTATGTGTTGTTGTGTTGTTCCCTGACTTCGCGTTCTAGGCTTGATTTTTTCCTGTTTGCGCGATTTTAAAACACGTTCAGCATTTGCTGTGTATCTTTGTACTTTGTGGATTATGCCGAGGTTCAAACTTGGCCTTGAATGGATTATACAGAGGTTCAAACTCAACCTTGAGTGGGTTTCGCCACGGTTCGAACTCGACCTTGAGCAGATTAGGTCAAGGTTCGAACTTGACCTTGAGTAGATTATGCCAAGGTTCGGACTCGACCTTGAGTGGACTTCGCCAAGGTTCGAACTCGACCGTAAATATGAGCGAAATAAGTTGGACCGAGGTTCGAATTCGACCTCGTCGTAGTGTGAAATATGTTGTGTTAAGGTTCGAACTCGACCTAAACTAAGAGCAAGATAAGTCAGACCGAGGTTCGGATTCGACCTCGTCGTAAAATAAGATAAGTTGTGCCAAGGTTCGAACTCAACCTTGGTCTAA